CTCTGCCCCTCTCTCTTTCTTCTCCTCTCCATAGGGCTCCCATGTGGCTGCCCTGACCGCTTCGTGCCAGTGTGTGCCCGTAACGGCCGCACCTACCCCAGTGCCTGTGTGGCCCGCTGCATGGGCTTCAAAGACAACCAGTTTGTGTTTGGCCACTGCCGCAGCAGCGAGCCCTGCTCCCCCAACCCCTGCCAGAAGAACCAGAGGTGAGATACTCCATCACTCCTTCCTTCCCTCCTTCTTTCCTTCAATCATTTGTTCATTGGAATAATCACTGATCCAACACAATTAGATTGGTGAGTGCAGAGGTTCCACTACGTGCATGCCATGTCCGATTAATGATTACTTCAAGGAAGGGAGGTAGGAAGGATGCATTTTCAAAGCATTCCATACAGCCTTAGTGGATAAGACTGGACACCTTCACTCTAGAGGATGCTACATCTCTCCTAACAGAGGCCTTGAGCCCTGATCCTATTCCACCTCAGTCGACTAGCAATGTTCCCTCAAATTTTTTTGGGAAACTGAGCAAATGTCAGGTCTGCTGAGCGCAAACTTGAACGTTGTGAAAATTCTGTGCAATTTCCAGTGCACGTTTACTGTGAACACTGAGGCTGTACCGCTTTAAGTTACAGTTTTAAAAGTGCCCAAGTAGGCTACTGTGGCTATCTGATCATAATGTAGGCCTACCAGAGTGGCCTACCATCAAAAACAATGGAGAAAATGCATCCCATAACATTTTAATATGGAAATAGCTGTTCTATCATTCAGCCTACAGTAGCAGCCAATGTGTGGTGTTCAAAGTAGGCCTGAATTCCATGCAGGGCTTGACATTAATCTGTTTATCCACTTGTCCTTCGGACAAAGAGGCGACTGAAAATGTTGTTGTGTTGTTTGATGCAAGAAACCACTTATTACAAAATAAAATGCATTATTATTCCCATACCATTATTACAGAGAATCAGACAAATTATGCTACCCTCTGCCTATTGGCTATTTAGCTTATTCAAGCCTGTCTCAAAATACAACACTGCAAAAAAAAAGCTCTACCTGACTTGCTTTTCAAAGATGTCTAGAAATGTTCACATTTTGTGCTCTTGTAGGAAGCAATCCCTCCCCTATTGCTGACTACAAATTATCTATAACTGGGCTAATAACTTAGTAACTACTGTAGCAAAGGATATGAACAAAATGTCCACACATGGCTACATGCAGCTCTCACTTTGATCTAAAAATAAGTGCATCTACTCACGACTGCTCATGCTGTAAACACAGCCCAGTTCAAAGTGAATGACACAGATCCATATACAGTTGAAGTCGGAAGTTTACATACACCTTAGCCAAATGCATTTAAACTCAGTTTTTCACAATTCCTGACATTTAATCCTAGTAAAAATTCCCTGTCTTAGGTCAGTTAGGATCAGCACTTTATTTTAAGAATGTGAAATGTCCGAATAATAGTAGAGAGAATGTTTTATTTCAGCTTTTATTTATTTCATCACATTCCCAGTGGGTCAGAAGTTTACATACACTCAATTAGTATTTGGTAGCATTGCCTTTAAATTGTTTAACTTGGGTCAAACGTTTCGGGTAGCCTTCCACAAGCTTCCCACAATAAGTTGGGTGAATTGTGGCCCATTCCTCCTGACAGAGCTGGTGTAACTGAGTCAGGTTTGTAGGCCTCCTTGCTCCCACACGCTTTTTCAGTTCTGCCCACAAATGTTCTATTGGATTAAGGTCAGGGCTTTGTGATGGCCACTCCAATACCTTGACTTTGTTGTCCTTAAGCCATTTTGCTACAACTTTGGAAGTATGCTTGGGGTCATAGTCCACTTGAAAGACCCATTTGCGACCAAGCTTTAACTTCCTGACTGATGTCTTGAGATGTTGCTTCAATATATCCACATAATTTTCCTTCCTCATGATGCAGTCTATTTTGTGAAGTGCACCAGTCCCTCCTGCAGCAAAGCACCCCCACATCATGATGCTGCCACCCTGTGCTTCACGGTTGAGATGGTGTTCTTCGGCTTGCAAGCCACCCCCTTTTTCCTCCAAACATAACGATGGTCATTATGGCCAAACAGTTCTATTTTTGTTTCATCAGACCAGAGGACATTTCTCCAAAAAGTACGACCTTTGTCCCCATGTGCAGTTGCATACCATAGTCTGGCTTTTTTATGGTGGCTTTGGAGCAGTGGCTTCTTCCTTGCTGAGCGGCCTTTCAGGTTATGTCGATATATAGGACTCGTTTTACTGTGGATATAGATACTTTTGTACCTGTTTCCTCCAGCATCTTCACAAGGTCCATTGCTGTTGTTCTGGGATTGATTTGCACTTTTCTCACCAAAGTACGTTCATCTCTAGGAGACAGAACGCGTCTCCTTCCTGAGTGGTATGACGGCTGCGTGGTCCCATGGTGTTTATACTTGCGTACTATTGTTTGTACAGATGGTCGTGGTACCTTCAGGCGTTTGGAAATTGCTCCCAAGGATGAACCAAACTTGTGGAGGTCTACAATTTTCTTTCTGAGGTCTTGGCTGATTTTTTTGATTTTCCCATGATGTCAAGCAAAGAAGCACTGAGTTTGAAGGTAGGCCTTGAAATACATCCACAGGTACACCTCCAATTGATTCAAATGATGTCAATTTGCCTATCAGAAGTTTCTAAACCATGACATCATTTTCTGGAATTTTCCAAGCTGTTTAAAGGCACAGTCAACTTAGTGTATGTAAACTTCTGACCCACCGGAATTGTGATACAGTAAATTATAAGTGAAATAATCTGTAAACAATTGTTGGAAAAATTACTTGTGTCATGCACAAAGTAGATGTCCTAACCGACTTGCCAAAACTATAGTTTGTTAACAAGAAATGTGTGGGTGGTTGAAAAACGAGTTTTAATGACTCCAACCTAAGTGAATGTAAACTTCCGACTTCAACTGTATGGCAATGGTCTATTTGCATATAGGCCTACTGTAGCTCTGATTGTTTATGCCGCGCCGGTCTGTGTAGAGTACGGGCTGAGTCGTATGTGTCAATGCAAAAGAATCCTACTCCGATGCGTTCTGTCTACAACAAAATCGCTTGCATAGTTTGGTTTGTTTCGGTATGTTGCATTGAAAGTGGCTAATATGGCGTTGATTCTATCACAATTGCCACAGTAAAGGGAAACATTGATAGTGTTAACAGGGAAAACTCTAGAACAGTGGTCACCAACCTTTTCTGAGTCAAGATGACTTTCTGAATCAAAATGCAAGCCGAGCTCTACTGCTCAGATTTTTTTTCAACATTACTTAAAAAACGTATGCATATGCAACATTAACCAATTAAAAAGAGTACTGCAGCAACAAGGTTTGTGCAGTAAGCTATAGGCCCAATACATTAGCACTGCATATTGGCTTTGCTTGAATTGTTGTTCGGGCCAGTTTTTTAAATTATATTTCAAAATTTGAGGTAGGCTATATGATCACACGGGTAATAGATCCATTGTTGTATTACTTGTGAGGCACAGCTGAGTGACAATACATTTAAATAATTTGTTTTTTATTTTTATTTTACTGGGCTGATGGTGCCTGCATCTGATGGTCAGTCTCAGCGGAGGGAGAGAGCAGTAGACTGAGGGTCCGCCTCTCAACATCCCTCCGCTCTCCCTTTGCTCCACTGACACTGACCAAAAAGGGACACCGTCTTCCAGCTGATGGTGAAACTCGAGTCGCACCGCATGCACAAATTCATGTTGTTACTCCTATGAACAGAGAAAGTGAAATATTCCTCTAAATGAAAAAAAAACAAGCCGCTAATAATAACAACAATGCAAGCCTATTGATACACTTTCCTATGCATTCATTACTGCTGCAGTGCTTGTTGTAGCGCTGAGTGGAAGTAGGAAGAACGCGCAATTTATGGCTTATAAAAGTGTTGAATACAATGTGTTGACAGTGCTGAGTAAGAACTTAAATATGAACTCACTCATAAAAACAGCAGCTCTTTGCTGTATTCGTTGACAGTCTCTCTCTAGTCATGGTTTTAAACGTTTTGAAATCTCACAGTATCCACTTTGCTGTAGCTTTCTTTTATGTCTGCTACGTTACTGCAGACATGGTAATCTGAGCCATTCAATTGGCCTGCGGTAGGCCTATAGTGCACTTGATTTGCTCTCTGGGCCCGCCGGGAAGGCAGAGTTTGTACCTTCAGACACATGACATGGTTAAAAATGGCAAGAGTTTGCCTACCCAGCGCGCAGGGCTGTTGAATCCGGTGCACCTACCGCAAACAGCCCAAGACAAATAAATTATTGTTGGGTTTTTTACAGAAATGTTTGGCGATCTACTAGAAATGCCTTGGAGATCGACCGGTTGGTGACCACTGCTCTAGAAAGTTGAGTGAAGTTCAATCTCGTGCTTCGCTCTGTGGGCTAACATTTCATCTGCTTGGCAGTCTCGGGGCTACTGCGCACCTCTTAGAGGGAACATTGTCGACTAGTGTTATTTCCTCTCTTGATAAATCCTCTTTTCCTGCACCCTTCACCCTTCCCCTCTCTTCTGCTTTTTCTTGAAATCCCCCTCCCAAACTGCTTCGTATACAGCAGTGACAGAGAGTCTGGTTGTTTGTTCAGGTGTGGCCAGGCTGTGTGTCCCCCTGTGGTTGCCGGCGGTAACTGTGTCATAAGGCGCGCCTGTATGGGGTTTGTTGTTGTAACCCTCCCCTCCGGAATGGCCTTGAGCTCCCAGAGCCCTGAGGATTACTCCTTCTTCCCCAGACAGCATCATCCATCTAACATCACTCCCTATTCCCCGACAGCGTCATCCATTTAATATCACTCCCTCTTCCCCGACAGCGTCATCCATCTAACATCACTCCCTATTCCCCGACAGCGTCATCCATTTAATATCACTTCCTCTTCACCACACAGCATCATCCATCTAACATCACTCCCTCTTCCCCAGACAGCATCATCCATCTAACATCACTCCCTCTTCCTCAGACAGCATCGTCCATCTAACACCGCTCCCTCTTCCCCTGGATGGCACAATGTTAGGACCATAGAGATCCTATTAAATTACTATTATTATTATTCTAATTCCTAATTAGAATTAGGAATTGGTTAGGACACGTTCCCTAACTGCACATTGTTACAGAGGACACACTCGCTAACCACACGTGGCTCCGTGTTAACTCCTATTACTACTAACATCAGAGCCGGCCCCCATTTTACCCCCCTCTTCCCTCCACACAGTAAAGACTCATGTGTTTTGGCATCCTTCCTTATGTAATGCGCAGCACAGCAAACCCATTCCATAAAGTCTCCCCTTGGCCGTCTGTTCAAAGACACACAGAGTTGGTGGGCTCTTTCAAACGTTTGTTATTTTTCAGCAAACAAGGCGATAAAAATCTGATTGGGGCTGAGATACGGAGGCAGGGATGGTTACCTTGGAGATAGGGTGGCTGGGTTGGAGAGAGAGAGAGAGGGTCCCTCCTTTTCTACCTCAACTTTTGCTTGTTTTGTACAGTCCATCTCTATTGTGACCAACAGGGCAGGGCTCATTAGGTTTCATAGATTTTCCCATTGAAAATCAGCATTAATGTACTGATATAAAAATGTCAACACATTTACTACATTCACATAAAGATTGGGATTATATGATAATATAATGTGTTTTTTGTTTTAAAAAAGGAGTAAATGGTGTAATTCACATGGTAAAAAAGCACTGCTGTCTGCAATGAGAATAATACACTATTAAGGTACACTACTTCATAATAATAATAAGGAACATCAGTGCTCAACTCAAACCAAAGGATCTACACTACATGGGAATAATAGAAAGCGATAGCTGTAATGCGTCCATGTTTTTTACTTCTACTGCTTAAAACCTACTTAAAACAATGACTAAATTAACCCCCTTTCCTCTCCTCCTTCCATTGGTCCTCAGGTGCATTCCCAACCATAGAGTGTGCCTTACAGACATGATTGACTACCCCTGTCCCCAGTATGAGTGTATTGGTCGTCCCTCCGGCTGTGACAGGATTCACATGGACCCGGCCTGCGACACAGACAACGTGGAGCACCCCAACCTCTGTCAGCTCTTCCAGATGGGCAAGGCCCTGGCCTATATGGGCCACTGTCAGGTAACAGCTAGACCAGGAGTATTTAAATATGAAATATAGGTCCGGTCTACTGCTGGTTTTCTGTTCTACCTGATCATTAATTGCACCCACCTGTTGTCCTAGGTCTAAATGAGTCCCTGATTAGAGGGGAAGAACGAAAAAACGCAGTGGAAACTGGCTTCGAGGTCCAGATTTTAATATGAGGGAGCTAGACCCTGTCCTGTATGGATCATTGTCGGGTAACAGTTTGACAGTTAGCCAAAGCAACTTGCTGAAGTAGAACATTTAAAAGTCATTCCCTGTCTCAATCAATTTATCTGCTCTCCAAGCTTCCATAACATCTACACCAACATGCGCTAAATTGACTGTAAATGTTGACAGTGTTTAAAGGCTTTTGGACATTTCAATACATATAATTCATTTGTGATGAAAAGGCATGTCAGAACTCATAGGGAGAGGTAGCAATAGGTAGCATTGTAACACCTGCTAGATAGCATTAAACAGTCAGCTATTTGAAAATCAGCCTGAAACTAAATCACCATACTGGAGGGAGCTGCACAGTATTTAGTCAATCACACAGAGATAATCCCTGTTTTTAGAGCCTCTGAAAAGCTTTGCTCTGTTTGTGTTCGTGAACACTTAAATGGAGAGCCTGCTGACAGAGGTAGGATAACACATCCCAGCTTTTGCAACACAAACACACACACAAATACTCCAAATGTGCATACCATACCGTCAGTAACTGATGGAGTATTTATCTTTTTGCCTTGACTTATGAGAGGAGGCAGATATCCCAGCCCACCAAAATCTGAAATCCCCCATGGTATTGTCTAATCAACTCATATGTTGCATTTAGGTTCTTAGTCTGCCCATACACTTAGACATATACATCTCCTGTGTAGGACTGTGCTTGAATATGATATAGACAAAATCCCCCCATGTTTGTGTGTGTGTGTTTGTGAAAGTGGAGAATTCAAGTTGAAAGTTGAATTAAAGTGGTTTGTTAGTGTTTAGGGCCTGGTAGGATCATGTTTCTCCATTGCGGTCGCTCGCAGCGTCAGCCTGATGGCGTCTCGCCTCGGTAGCTCTGAGCAGTGGCTCCATCAGTGGAACAGGCCGGATTGGGTTTTATATCCGTTTAAGGCAGACGACAACCCATTAAAAACCCACTTCAGTCCTGGTGTCAAGTCGCCAAACCAAGAGGCACGCAATCAGACCGTTTGCAGTGATGTAGGAGAACTTAACTGCCCTCCCCCTCTCTGATAATATTGCTGAGATACAGAGCAATTCAAAGAAACCAAATACATCTGGTGTGATATATAAACAATGGCCTCCCTAGGTAACTAATTGGAGTAATTTACCTTGAGTAAGTTTATCTGGATGTGAGTGATGTATTATGAAGAGTAGGAAGGTGACGTGTATTTACGTTTTAATATATGATATTTTCCACAAAATACATTAATAAGGGCTGAATCCTAACTCAAACTTTCTTGTGTCTGTGTATGTGTTTGTGTTCTGTGCAGGACGCCTGTAAAAAGGCGCGGCCTGTGTGCGGCCACAACGGCGAGACGTACAACACAGTGTGCGAGGCCTACTCGGACCGCGTTGCCGTGGACTACCAGGGGCGGTGCCACGCCGTGGGGGCAGTGGCAGAGTTTGCCTCTGACTCAGGCTGTGACATGATCCCCTGCCCCGCCCTGTCCACCCCGGGCTGCATCCCTGTCACACCACCCGGTCAGTACAATAAAGACAGAAATGATATAATATCTCATGTTTTATTTAATTCTGTGGTCAGTACACTCAGTGGCGCAACCACATTCACTTTGACATATAAGTCTTTCATGTTATACTGAGGATTTTTCCCCACAGGAACACAAATCTTATTAAGATAATGTTGTGATTGACTCCTAACCTCTGACCCCTGACCTCTTGGTGGTAACCCCTCCTATCACAGGCGCCTGCTGTCCTCTGTGTGCGGGCATGCTGCAGATCCTGTGGAACCAGGAGCAGATGAACAACTTCGCTAAGGTCAGCGTCTTCTGCTATGCTCCTCACTTATCTGGGTCCCAGGCTGTGTTCCATTTCAGAAAAGTTGTCCCCTTCCCTTTCACTCACTCACTTTTCCAACCAGCTGGCTGGTTTGTTGTATTTGTATGGATTTTAACACTATAAAGAGGATTGAAAGGTTCCCTGTTGTATTATATATTATATAGAATTCAATTCTCAATGTTGAAAAATGACGAACAAATTGTTTTGCTGCATATCTGAATCTAAACTGTGGACACTCCTTTGTGGATTGGAGACGACTGTCTAGGTATAAGTAGGGTTGCAAAATTTAGGACAATTTCAATAAATTCCCTGGTTTTCCAGAAATTATTTTTGGAGGATTCCGGATTTCCTGCTTATTCCCTCCTAATTCCCAGAATCCTCAAAATTGAGATTTAGGAAAAACGTAAAAAAGTTCCCGACAATTTGCAACCCTAGGTATAAGCAATAGCTCCACCAAGTGCAGTATGCTGTGTGCAGGCTTTTGTTACAGCTTCTACACACTAGATTCCGCTAATCAAGGGCATAGAATCAGGTATGTTAGAGCAGGGCTGGAATAAAAGCCTGCAAACCCAGTTGAGTAGGTCTCCAGGAGAGGGATTAGCCACCCCCTCTGCAACGACGGTTGATTTTGTACTGTAATGACACCAAATGACCACTAGAGTGAGGCATAGATCCAAAATACCAAGCATCAACATCACATGTCTTCCTCTGGAATTCTTCGCAAGTTCGAAATTACTTGGTCGGGCCACAGCTTAAGAGCAAATACCCAGAAATACCTTGTATACATGCTTATAACAGCTAATAAGCTAAAACAAACATGACATTCAAAGCAGATTAATTATAAACCTGGGCTATTAGTCTAATCTCAAACATTTTATTAACGTTAAGTCTAGACCATAAGCCTGCTAATTCCTAACAAATTACCTTTGGATTTGGGGCTAGACGACATGACTCACTCAGACAAGCGATGGATATACACATCATCGTTTCCCAACCTATCCTCCATATTGGTGTCAAACATTCCATGACAGCAGGCACTATACTGTAAGACATTCATTGCACTTTCAACTACTGTTCATAAAGGTATTTCATGTTTGTTATTAATTGGGAATGAATAACATGTGTTTACCACATACAGAACAAACATGAATAAACCTGCTGTTCAGTTTTCCTTTATCTGCAATGAATTGAATCTCAAACTCCTCCCCCTCTGGCTCTGGTTCTGTGCAACTGTGTATGTCCTTCTGGTTTGGTGTTGCAGTTGAACAGGAAGCAGCCAGTGACGGTCCATGACATCCTGAGGATCCTGCGTCTCCACATCTCCGTGCCGCAGTGTGACATCTTCGGCTACCTGAGTATCGACTCAGAGATCATCATCCTCATCGTCCCCGTGGACCAGCAGCCCACCCCGCTGCAGGTACACACACATACGCAGACACTGAGCTAGCTGGTTTGCAGTGCACGCTAATAGCATTCAATCGGTGATGTCACCAGCTCTGAGACCTTGAAGTAGACTTTCCCCTTGCTCCACAAGGGCTGTGGCTTTTGTGAAGTGAAAGGTAACGATGCTTTGTGGGTGTTCAGAGGGTCCCTGGTTTGAGCCCAGGATGGGGCAAGGAGAGGGACGGAAGAAACAGTGTTACAGGTACACCCGGAGACAGACAGTGGTACACTTATAGAAAGATTTTGCACAATTTCACTCTCACACAAACACACGCATGTTGCATGCACACACTCTCTGTCTCTCTCTCTCTCTCTCTCTCTCTCTCTCTCTCTCTCTCTCTCTCTCTCTCTCTCTCTCTCTCTCTCTCTCTCTCTCTCTCTCTCTCTCTCTCTCTCTCTCTCTCTCTCTCACAGAGACCTGTCGACTGTCCTTCATTCACAATAGATAAGCCTGGTTCTCTGGCTACATGAGCTTCCTCTCAGAATGACAACAGTTGATTCCCTGCTTGTAGGGCTATTCTTCAGTGTTCCAAAGCCAAGTAGTGCACTATATAGGGAATAGGGTGCCATTTGAGACACATCCTTTGTTTTACGTCCTGGTTAATGCATGACCTGGGGCCCAATCGGCATAGCATACAATAAACCTTAGGGCCAGATCATCCCATCATGGTGTTGTGAGCGCTTTTGTTTCCTACACAGAACTGAGCCCTCTGTTTCTCCACCCCCATCCTCAACCCACACTCCCATGCTCTTCTATGAGCACAGTGGATTTCACAGTGATTACAGCAGAAGAGAGGAGGCATTTGTTAACAAGCTGATCGCTCACACAGAGGATGCCCACAGGGCAGTGTTTAGAGACATGGGATATTCCGTAATGGGGGTGGAGGGCAGCACTGGTACTCGGAATGCAAAAAAAATTAAACTTTTGTGATTATTTTCTCATAGATTCTGAAAAGAGATCATGATTATTTTGATTTATATTGTGCTTATATCTCAAACTCAAAAAATATGTTTGGTGGTAACCGTTTCACCACCAATGTACCAGCTGGTGTGATGCAGGACCGCCTATTATCTCTCTCTCTTTCTCTCTCTCTCTCTGGGTCCTCCTGTTTTAAATGTAGTTCAGATAACATGTTTTGACATGCTTGTGGTTTGTCTGATGGGGTTAATGGAGAGGAGCGTAGTGAGTTGTGACACAGCCTGTAGACCAGCCTTCTGATGGCTCTGTAGGGAATATGAACTAATGGTTCAGTCAGACAGATGTCCCAGGGGTGTTTGTTCAGTACAGTGAAATGTTTGAATAGAGCTGCCTGAAACATCTCCCTATTTTACATGAGAGACAATCATATCTGTTCTGCAACAATACATCCATTGCTGTCTGTATGTTCTGTAACGTTGGGCCCTCCTGAACAGGGACTTTATCGGGAGGGCACAGGAGTCATAATAAACATGTCTGGGCCAATATTTCCTGTTATTTATTCAACTGCCATCTCCAGTTCTTTCTAAAAATTGGTTTAATTTCAATGACTAAGCTGGATAAATAAAGGTTAAACACCAAGATTTTCAAAACGCCTCATGAGACCAGAGACTGCGATGATGAACGAGAGACCCAAACCCCCTCTTACTGAGGGACTAATCAAAGTCCTCTCTCAGAATCTCTCTCACTCCACTGGGACAAATCATCCGATTTCTCATCACTACCATCTAGGGTGAAACCCCCAATTAAGTTATTTTTCACACCCTTTCCACCCATTTTATTGCTATCTGCAAAAACAGCCCTGAGCGATAATGATCGATGCAAACCGGCAAATGGAGGTCACAGCCAGCCTTGCATCATTCTCTCTATGACTCTATTCATAGAAACTATTTGTCATTATGTGGGCTTTTAGGTGGTTCGTTAGGAATGTTTCATACACAAATAAAGAGCCTAGTTTGTCACATGTTTGTACCAATATAACATGTTTGTATCTGCCATTTTCAGAAGGGAATAAAGATACAAACAAAACAAAAGTATAAAAAACTATGGGAGGAGGACTGTGTGTCTGTAAACTTCACCTGATCATTGTTTGTGTGTATCCCGTCTCAGATTGAAGCCTGCAGTATGGAGGCGGAGAAGATCGACTCACTCATCAACTACGGCAGCCCCACCCTGGTCTCCCATGTTCCTCTGTCTGCCTTCCTCACCTCCGAGGTCTCCATATCCACTATCAGGTCTGCGGGCCACGCCAACTCCACACCCTCCTCCCTGCCCATCTTCTTCTGCCTCGCCCTGGGCCTCTTCTTCACTTTAGCACCAGGCCTGCCCGAGGCCTAGCTAGCCTCTACTAGCCAGCCAGGCCCCGCTGGCAGGAGACTGGGTGTGTTGCGGAGTATTCTGACCCCTTCTCGGGTCATTGCCTGACAGGAAGCATCAGCCTGTAAAAGCCTTGACAATCAATCCTATTAACTCTACTGCACCAGCGTCAACACAATCATGGACGAGAACCTATGAGATGAATCCTAATTGAAAGAGAGAAGTGGAGACACAATCACATTCCAGCTTTGGTTCCACAGAGCTCTATATATCGTTATAAGGAAGATGAGTTTTTATCACACAGTGTTTTGTATCCGTTTTATACTGCAACAGTAGCTCTCTCCTCCTCTAAAGCTGTGGAGGGGTGTGTGTGTGCGTGGGAGTGCGGGCGTTTGCCTGCGTGCGTGTGCGCGCATGCATGCATGGTGTGTGTGTGTGTTTGTGTGTATGTATGTGTACACACACGTGTTTGTGTGTAACACAGAGAGAGAGAGAGGAGCCAGGTGGTTGAGTCTCAGAGGGGGAGTCAGGTCTAGATGTCAGACAGGTGTGCTCCCAAACACTGATATTTGTCCCGACATTTGTCCCAGATGGTCTCAGAGGTCTAATTACCCCCCCCCCCCCCTCTCCTCCCCTCTCTCCCACTCCCGTTTTACATTTGTAGGATTGTAAATAGAGAGCGAGTGGAAAGGTGCTGACTGAGACAGTAATACTGGAACGTGAAACAGGTCAAAGGCAAGCAAGCATTCCCGCTCCGTAAGCTGAAAGACACACAAAAGGGATTCTAGTTGTTCCTCTAGTGTAGATAAGATATAAAATAAGGAACGACAGCCATGTTTTTCATGAAAATGACAATCATCACTTTACCCATGATGCACATGGGTAGAAAAAAAAAACTAGCGACAACATGCTTTGCATATAGTTCCTATATGAAGTAAATGCAATAAACTTTATAATGTTGATAAGAATTATTCCGAAATTATTCCGAAATGTTCTATATTTGAAATAACAAATGGATCGAGATGTGATTCAATATGTGCCATTTTCTAAATGTTTTATTCTTGCATGATGACAATTATGAAGTGTTTTTACTCCAGAATGTATTGTACTATGTTTGTCCTGTCCCCACGTTTGATTTTATGTTGTCTCTATGCCTACGCAACACGAAGTGTCCCCGTTTTTTACAGTATTATCGTGCTAGGCAGCTTTGTAGCAGCAAACCCTTTTCAAGGGTCCTTGTAGTATTGTTTCCGAGTGATTTAAACTCTGTTTTTTGTTGTTTTTATGATATCAAGTGTTCATATTGCCAATGTTTAGAAAGAGTATAGCTGTAGGCACTTAAGCATTACGTTAATCATCACTGTATTGCATCATTGTCTCGGTGGAGATGGCAGTACTTGCAATGTGTTTGTAAAATGCCAACAGAATGCATATTTTATTAAATATAAAATCCTACAATCAAACAGAAGGTTGCTTGTTGTTGTACATTTCATTTTAAAGATTCCACATTGAAGCAGAGTGCCAAATAAAATATATTGTATCAATCCAGTCACATTAATATGCTGTTCTCAATAGAGCATGAGAACTGAAAGGACACTGATAACGTTAAACTTTTCATTATCCTCAGACTATTGCTCTTTCTCATTTCTCTTCTTCATCCTCCCTCCTTCTCAAAAGGCGTTCCAAGGTCCCTCCTCTCAAATCTTCTGCTCAAATGTTGTGAGCAAGAGGCAAGGAAGGAGGACACAAGGAATCGAAGGAAAGACAATTGAGAAAGAGCCAAAGCCTTCCACTACTCTCCTCTAACATGCAATGACATACAATCACCACAAGGTGGTGTCTGGCTCTGACACAGCCTCTAAGGAGGTTGAGTGCCGTAGATAGTGACCTGTAATGATGTAGTACTCTCCCACAGGGCAGGCTGTGAGGGAGTAAGGAAACAAGTGTCTACTTCCTCAACATTTCCTAAGGCCCCTCGTATGTAGTGCTCCAGAGAGCGGATGTGGAAGTGGAAGCCCCTAGTGCCTGATAAAGGCCTTGGCGGCTCCCCTTTGATCCAACATTGATTTACCCGCTTAACTATCCACTGTGTAAATAATGACGATGAGAAGCCCTCCCCGGGTCCTCCTCTCTCAGTGTGTGTGTGTATGTGTATGTGACCTGCTCTTGAGAATTTGGGCTGGTGTGTGTGTCTGCTTGAAATGTGTTAACCTTTTATTTAGTGGGATGAACCAGATGTAGAATTGCTTCCTAAAAAGTTTTTCCCTGATCCATTGCTGACCTACCTAACCTCAACACTCTTAGTTAAAAGCCAGTGGCTAGTACCTATTGACCATACAGTAATGTGTTGTGATGAGTAACGACACAAATCATGAGCTGGCTTGGGGAGTCGTGATGTAGATTCCAGTGGGGTCTAGGGAGGAGTGGAGATGAACTTGCCTTTCCAGGAATTTTCCTGAATGTGAAATCCCATTGAAGAAGCCTGAGCACCGGCGCCTGAGAATGTCTTTGGTTAATCCCTCAAAGGGAACGACCATGTGAACGCCTAACTAGCCTGCACCCAAGTCGCCAAAGACCACATCTGGAGACTCCTGGCTCTCTAACTCTAGCTTTTAAATGAACCTGTTGGCCTACTGCACGAGTGGGAACTCATCCGTTCTCGCAGGTTCTGTAAAAGCAGTGTAGAAAGATGTTGTCCTGTAGTGCACTCTATTAAATTACAGCTAACAGAATTGATTCGCTACACAGTCACTTTCCTTTCCTCCGTGCTTATGATCGTAATGGATTCAACTAATGTACAGTATCTGCTTTCATTTACAGGTCCCAAGGCTCTTTACATCACTCATCACTGTATTTCACTGACATAACAGAACCCTTGGTATTTTGGTATTTTATTGCGATCCCCATTAGCTGTTGCGAAAGTAGAAGCTACTCTTCCTGCGGTCCACACAAAACATGAAACATGACATAATACATCCCATCTGGTTTGGGCTTAGTGGGACTATCATTTGTTTTTCAACAGGACAATGACCCAACACACCTCCAGGCTGTGTAAGGGCTATTTTACCAAGAAGGAGAGTGATGGAGTGCTGCATCAGATGACCTGGCCTCCACAATCCCCCGACCTCAACCCAATTGAGATGGTTTGGGATGAGTCGGACGGCAGAGTGGGAACTCCTTAAAGACTGTTGGAAAAGCATTCCAGGTGAAGCTGGTTGAGAGAATGCTAAGAGTGTGCAAAGCTGTCATCAAGGCAAAGGGTGGCTATTTGATGAATCTCAAATATAAAATATATTTTGATTTGTTTAACACTTTTTTGGTTACTACATGATTCCATATGTGTTATTTCCACAGTTTAGATTTCTTCCCTATTATTCTACAATGTAAACTATTGTAAAAAAATAAAGAAAAACCATTGAATGAGTAGGTGTGTCCAAACTTTTGACTGGTAGTGTAGCTCCAAACAAAATGTTCCAACCCTGGTTTATATGAGGCCATAACACTCTCCAAATAAGTAAACACCAATACATTCAATTTCATGGCAGAAATTATAATTTTTTTTAAACAGAGAGAGTGAGTCAGGGTTTACTAGTGTTCTTTTAAATGGCTCCTGTGTTGATTATACTCCACAGAATGCCACAGTGTCTTTGGTTTACAGGTGACAGGTTGGAGACACGGTGGTGGTGGCAGGCCCCTCTTTAAGTGGTAAATGGGAAGTCACCAGCTGTTCAGGCAAGTATATCCAGGATCCTGCTTGGGAGCCATCTGTGCGCCCAGCCCCACATCATTAGTGAAAGAGAGTGAAAGAGGACTGTAGGCTGTGAGGACCGGATTAATATTCACACCTGTCACTCACTCCTGAGATCCCCCCTTCCCATCACCACCTGGCCCTGTTTGTTCCTCTCCCTCTCTCTCACTCAAATGTAAAAGTGCGCCCCTTTAAATTGCCACATTATCGCCACACATTGTCACAGAAAGAAAAGGAGACACAGGTCACGTTTGAATACTCTGAAAAAGCACCCTTCCTTCCTTCCATTCTTCCTTCCTGACAGAGAGAGACTGTTATCAGTGCTCCACCAGCTTGAGTCAACACATTGCTAATTTGCACCTCCACCTATCTGTTCCTCCTATTTACATGGCCATGTGTAGTTTCGTCCCACAACTAGCCATTTAAATTAACATTTATATGATCAATTTTGACTTTGACTTTTAATTTTACAGATGGCATTAATTTTAATGGGTAGTTGCGGGACAAAGCTAGGACATGAGGTGCAGTTGGTTTCCTTTCAAAGCGAAGAGTTGCGTTAACCACTTCAAACTGAGCCAGATACTAGATACAGAGACTTGGGTGGAGGGCACTGTATGACTAGATACAGAGACTTGGGTGGAGGGCACTGTATGACTAGATACAGAGACTTGGGTGGAGGGCACTGTATGACTAGATACAGAGACTTGGGTGGAGGGCACTGTATGACTAGATACAGAGACTTGGGTGGAGGGCACTGTATGACTAGATACAGAGACTTGGGTGGAGGGCACTGTATGACTAGATACAGAGACTTGGGTGTATGAGGCTATTTCTAATCAACCCTAACATAGTTTCTCAAGAGAAGCAAAAACAAAATCAAAACAAAATCAAACCATGGGAGCTGCTCAATTATAAGGATGACGTTATCTTCTCGGCTTAATTGCCTTTGTGACTCAAAGTGTTGATGCAATCCCTTTCCTGTGTTCTAATGAAAAAGTAGCAGCAGTCGAATCTGCCTTTGGATACCTCCTTGGATAAATTTTAATAGATTATAAAAATGGGGCCAGTCTCTCTCTCTCACTCTCTCCACTGTCAAACTAACACAAATCAAAAGGCTGCAAAAAAAAATAGGAGGAAAATGCAAATTAGGGATTGGGGAGGAACATTTTTTTAAACAAAAAGGGATAATACAATTACCCCTCCAGGGCTTCTTCTTTGTAAGGCCTCACAACAAACGATGTGTTGCGGAAATAAGACACCGATGTGTGATGAATAATATCAAAGTGAGTGTGCCGTATTGTATTTGTATTGATGTAGCTGCGTTAGCGTTAGGTACAGTATATCTGCAGGCTTTCAGCTTCGTTCTCCCTCAGCAGATGAGCAAGTAACCTAGCTGTTCCTGAGGCAGGGAACAAACGCGCACCACTTTTCATCAAAGGTGAATCTCAATGATAAGCTCCACTGTTGGTTTATTTGATAACTTTAGTGTGCTCTTTCCAAAAGGAACTCTGGAAAAACTTGCTGTATCTTGGTCTGCACACCAATGTGCAATATGGATAACAACCCTCTTAGTTATTTATGAGACACAATCATGAGCTTCAAATGTGTCTATTTTTTTTATCCAAAAGAAAAATTACTATAGTATACTGTGGTATAAATTCTATAGTATTCACTGTAGTGTTTTTACAGAGTATTTTTGCAGAGAATACTGTAGTATTTACTGTAGTGTTGTGGACATGACTGTAGTATAGTGTAGTATTTACCATTTTTTTGCAGACATTACTGCAGTATTTACTATAGTGTTTTGGTTTTATTACCTTTGACATAGCAGTGGGGCTTACTTCTTGATGAAATATACTGGACAAA